GTCACATGTAAATCTTTTGAAAAAAAAAAAATCTGATTTTAAGTTTAAATAAATAAAAGTCGGTTGATTATATTAGAAATTACTTTTTTTTTCTTCTTAACTTTTTCCACTACCACCCCAACCCCCCTATCATCCTCCTCACTCTCTCTATCACTATCTCCCTCTCTCTTTCTATTTTAACAAAAAAAAAAAAAAAATTTCCGCCTTAATGTGACTTTTTTTTTTTTTTTTGGGGTATAAAACATGCACAAACAGGAAATGAATTTTAGGGTTTATCTCACCTTAAACGCTCGAAAGGTTAAAGGGAAGGGGTTAAACGGGGAGGGAAAGAGAGAAAGAGAGAAAAAAAAATTTTTTTTCTTCTCTCTCCTCCTATCCCCTCTATAAAAAAAAAATGCATTAAACAAAATGAAAAACGTTTTTGATTTTTCTTTCTCCAGCGAATCAATTTAGACTCCAGAATTTTTTTTTGTTGCGTTATTTAAAATTAATTCGTTTGTAACCCAACAACCAGACAAACAAACAAACGAACAAACGAATAAACAAACGTGTTAAAAAAAAACAGGATTTTTAAAGAAAACAAACAAACAAAGAAACGTTTCAGGTGTTTTTCTTTCATTCTTTCTTTCTTTCCTTCCGTTTCCGTTTTTTTTTCTCGAGAAATTTTCACGCGCCTACAAAACGCGCGTTATTTATATACACACAATAATAATAATAATAATAATAATAATAATAATAATAATAATAATAATAATAATAATTTTTTTTTTTTACGGACGGATAATCGAAGGATGAGCGCGTTTTTTTTTCTATCCATAAATAACTGACTGATAAGCGATACCAGCATCCAAAATTCAAGATAAAAAAAAAATTTTTTTAAGTTCAAAGCTTACCATCCCCCACCACCACCACCACCAGCGCCACCGCCGAAACCGTCAGCTCAAATTTTATTTTTTTAAAAAAACTCACGGAAGTGACGTAATTAAATTATACCGTTGACTGACATTATAAAGTTAAATTATGACGTTTTTTTTTTTCTTTTTTTTTGTGAGAGAGTAAATGAAAAATTAACCGTTACAAAAAAAATTTCATTTTAAA